TCGAGTTTACATTACACAACGTCGAAATGACCTGGTTAGTCTGATATAATTTTTGAGAGTTGCACTTTAGAACGCTCGAGATTGCGTCTGATCTGTAGTTTAGACTCTTCCGCCCACCGTTCCACTTCCGCGCAACGACGGTTTTGTGCGTACTCGGTTTAGGCAATCGTATAGGAATGCCCTCATGTGTATCGCACTGTGGATAGATGATATGAAATTGCTTCAAACATCATTTTATCTCACAACATGTGTAAACAAAATTGCATTTCATTACATTTGAAGGAAGTCCATTACTCTTCCCAAGAAGGTGCCTAAATGCCTGTCTCCGAGACCCAAAAGGGGTCTGATCGACTGGTACGGCGCTTAAACTTACGACGCTTATCAAATAGCGGCTAAAATATTTTCTTGTAGATAAATCTCAAACACCTAACATTTGGCTAGCATAAAAAACGTCGGATTTCATTCACTTCTGCTGAAGATTTTCATCATTTCCAAATGGCAATACGGTAGCTGGAAATGACAAATCGGATGCAGAATTTGGGCTAATTGCCATGTTGCCAAAACTATGGGGCAAAACCCTGAAAACACTAAAATTAAAGCCGAAAAATTATAAACAAGGCGTCATCTACTATAGGATTAATGCACTCCCTCTTCCATTGAATTGTCAGTTTACTAGCACAAGTCTTCCTTGCTCCTCTATGATAGCCTCCACCGGAAGTCACTGAGAGCGAATGGTTTCCATTTTGCAGAGGTCCTTTGACAGGACGATCAAAAGGAAGCCAAATGAGTTGGGCAAGCTTTACACAATCTGCAAAACGAGGTAGAAAGCACAAGCCTTGCCGATGGGTGTTGGCTAGAGAGGCTCAGAACAGTAGAAAGGAAATGCATTTTCAGACTTTTAAGTTCTGGATCAAGGCCTCTAGAGACAGAGACCACTTTGGGATTAGACCACAGTCCAGTTGTAGAGATGCAAGCGAAACAAACGATAGCAATGGACGATGATTCTAGGAAACCAACATGATAGGGAAGAATTTGCTCTTCTGTGGCAGACCTTGTAGGGTTAGCATAAAATCGTCAACACAACTCACATATCTTTCAGTAAAGAACGACATTTCATTTTGCTGACCATGTCAGTACAGTAGACTAAACGAAGGTAAGTTGTTGGAAGAAGTGCCAGTGGATTTTGGGGCAGTCCACTTCAACGTTCACCGCCTCATTCGGCAAACAATACGCGACTTTTTAGCAGCATGAAGGATTGACGTAAACCGCGTGATGACGTGTCAACAGGGAGGAAATCCTTAAGATGGCATGAAAAGCTAAAAGTAGGAAGTTAATACGGACTAACGACATTGAAAGCCTCTTCATTCGCGCAAGAAGCGACAAGAGGGGAGGGAGTCAAGTGTACTGCGAATGCCGGTGGATCTTAAAAACAAAACGAAAGTTAATAGTGCACTGAAATGACAACAAAATCACGATGAATCCATCAACCTTACCTTACTAAGCATGCTTAATTGACAAGCAGCTCTTTGTTGAGGCCAAACACTGCGATAAGACAGTGTGGAAGCGCATCACGACTACTCTTCATTCAAGCCCACCACTTCTGCATAGAACACCGAAAATTTAGTACTTAAGTGAATAATTGCTGGAGTCTTTGTGTGAAACATCATAAGCACATTCCACCTTTGGGGAGGTCCTCTAGACATCCAAAAGAACAATCAGAGGCTCATCTATGGATCAAATCATTGCCGCAATGGATGTCATTTTCGAGTCTCTTGCGAACACTGAGTTAATTCGCTACTGTTGGTTTGCGGTGGCAATCTTAAATCACGCACTTGCAGGCTACCACTCTTTGTACATCACTTGAAAATTGCAAGACAAGGACGTTTTTGAAACAATAATGCCTCAGAAAGTGTACACAACCCCCTCGCAGGCAAATTTCACGTGGAGCTTAACTTGAACCAAGAAGACGAACGAAGGGAACCTGATCGAAATCAACTATGAAACTTTAAAAAATTAACGAAATTTGGCCCCAGGAGAACGCAAACACAAACACACGACGTCCACTCTGACCTCGCCCAACATCTTTGCCTTATTTTTTAGTTGTTTTCAAACAAGGAGCTACAAATCCATACTTTCTAGTGCTTATAAACACCGCTTCTTAAAGCATCACAAGATTTGTGCAAAAGCATGAAGAACACCAGCTTGCCTTTAACCCTTCGAGGTGTTCCATTTTTGAGGAAATATGGTTAGTCTACTCACGAAACCCATCGTCTATTTTCATAGTGTTTATCATGACGCAAGGAAGAATCTACGAAAACTCTTTCACAGGTTATGCCATAATATGCTAGCAGCAATGAAGGAAACAACATTCTGAAATACTTCAAGAACGGCAGTTATGCACTCTCAGGAGCAAGGTACCATTTGGTCCCCTAAAGGTGGTAGTTTTGGAGGGAGCAGCTGTCAATGCAAAGCGAAAGTGAATTCGTAAGAATGAAGTTTCGTGGCAAGAGGAGCCTAGAGCGCATCGTGAAAGTCTAACCAGCGTCAAAGTACAAATTTTAAATCGCAGTGTATTTTAAGCTAAATAAATTAGCTTTATAAACTGCCGACACAAGAGGCAATGAATAACTGTCTTTCTGAGTAAAGGTGAATGGAATGTCAAGCAGCAACTTGACTTCAAGAGGTATCGTCAGCATTCAGGAAGACCAACAGCCGCTGCCGAAAAAGGACAGGACCATTGGCATTTGCATTGGATTCTTTGCAAGTTCGCATGATTAATTGTGTTGTGGGCTGAAAGAAAGATGCAAAACACAGAAGCAAAAGCTTAATTTAAGCAAAAAAAGTCATTTAGGTGGTACCAGATGTGTTTCAATTCTCAGCAAGCCCCAATAAACGTGACTTCACAGCAGTGACTGCGCCAGAAATACTAACCCTTTGTACCCATAAAACTACATCTCCAAGTCAATGAGTCGAGGTGTTCGATTCAGGGTGCCGATTAAGCCTATCATCGAATCGGCATTGCAGCGCGGCTTCATTTTGTGGCGACTAAGCCATTCGAGACGATTCTATGGAATAGGAGGGATGTGTCATCATTATTCTCCTTCATTTTAAGCAAAGGAAGAATAGTACGAAGGCCGACTTGGAAAAAATTAGTGTAATTCTTTGAAGGTCAAGGAGCTAAGACGAAATGCAAATTGGTGCCATTCCTCTCTTAGAAATATGGACTTCGTGCCTACACATCAATACAATTAGCTAAGCAATTCTTTGTGGCATAACATTCAACGTTTTGAAATTTTCGAATTCTGAAGGTTCGTATTCTCGTAGTTGTTGTACGCCTTTATCTATTCTCTCAACTTTGGGTATACCAGACTGCGCTATGCTCGCAGCAACCAATTTTTGGGTTCAAAGTTGAATGCAAACATGAAAAGGAATCCTCATAACAGTTAGTGAAGTAATACCAAAGCTACTCAGTTCACCACCACCCTGCGTCGGACTCTTTCGACATCACAACGCCCTGGAGTTTGAGAGAAGCGGCTCCAAAACACCCATCTATTGAGGTGAGGTGAAATGCCTAAAGTAGTAGCAGCTATAAGCACCTGCAAGACCGTTCTGGAACCAATGGATGCGTCTCACGAGAGGTCCAACAGGCCGTACAGAAATGTTGCACGGAGTTGAACAATCCACGCCAACTTTAGCATCCTGCGATGACCACGTGCATAAGTGGCACTGTACGGTGAGCATCATGAATATTGAAATAGTCGAAGTATTGTGAACTTCTTTCAGATCACATTGGACGGGACCCATCAGTAAGCAATTATTCAAGCCGTTGCAATCCTTCCACTTGCTGCTATTTGGCCTTTGCTTGTTCATTTCTTTGGCGCAGTGGTTTGGGAGCCTTACCAACATCCACTTTGATTCAGCCATTTACAGGTTGCGTGAAACGCAGTCATAGCATCGCTTCTTTTGTATTCGATTATTAGCAATCATTGTGAGCTGCAAATGCACTTAAAATGTATGTGACTTGACTCATTCTCTTCTTTGGAATCCGAATCCACTTGCCAGAACACAACCCTTTATTTGGGTTCCGAGTAGCCTATGAGAATATGCGTAAAACTGTTGATTTCTTGTTCCACTCAGAGCGAACTCCTCTGAGAGATTCGCTATCCGCCCAATTCATCTTCATGCTTATTACTGGAGGGAAGTTGTGAAGACAGCATAAAAGAGGGAAACAAGTCAATTGTATTTTGTAGTACCGTGCACAGTGCGATACACATTAACATTCCAAGAGTACAAAGACAGGACGACCATTGATGCATTGATACCCACGGTGCAAACGGACACCAAATTGATCCTCCAGTAACCTCTCACAGTGGCATTCAAACAGTATCATTTGCAATCTCTGGCAAACTTATAACTAATAAATGCCCATTGTTCTAGTTAAGCAAAAACCAATTTAAAGGAGAAATAGCAAGCTTCGTTTCCCGCTGAAGACATCATTAGTCCGCTTAAGGTGCTTCTTTACACATACAACTTCATATGACAACTTAAAGGTGCGAAATGAGTACAATTTATTTTCCACTAAATAATATCCCATAGAAATCCTGCACACCAGCTCATGAAAAGTTATCATAACTTCTAAAACCAACAGTTCACCCACTGGAAGCGTCGAACAACTTGAAGGTCAACAATTCAATTGGTGATGACTTCATCCCCTTCTTTAACCGACTCCTCTAAGTGGAAAACTCTTGAGTGCAGACTGCATAAGGCTGAATAAAATTGCTCAGCTAAATACTGCCCAAATTTAGGTCGAGAGCAGAGTGGACTCAAGACGTATCAAATTCGCAAGAATGAGTCTCCAGTCTGATTTAGTTACAAAATACTCGCAGATGTAATTTGAGAAGTAATGAACGAAACCACTGTTCAGATCAAAAAACGATAATATTTACTAAGGAAGATTCGACAAATATAAAAAATACGCTGATGGGAAAAGATACCAAGTTTTACAGGGTGGGCTCTACTTTCACTCCAAAGCCAGGGTAACTGGTTAATCCGGCAGCGGTGTTGGCGGCAGCGGACGCCTTCGTTTTCTTCTCCGTAAGAATTCGCACTACTGCATTCAACTCTGTGAGAAGGCGTCGCATCTCCTTAATTCCCGTAGTTCGTTGGCTTAAGTACTAAAGGACGAATGAGCAAGGCTTAGTAATTTTCCGGTTAGAAACACTTAATGACACTTAATTTCAGAGAATTGCCTTTTATCTTATGATGCGTCGCCAAAGAACTCTAAGCTATCAGAAAGGTACGAGCAATGCATTCCAATTAGCGTTCATTCCGTCAACCATAGCAGCAACTTTACGTGCTGGCCGATTCATTTTTGTTCGAACACCCACTGTTGCAGGCATGATACTACCGATGGAAATACAAATGGAGAGTAACCAGCAATTGTCTGTTTGGTAAGGTAATTCGAAATAAACTGTAGCTTTGTTTCAACATCAGTAGACTACGACAATTTTAGAGAGTGAAGTATAGTCACACTGAAATAGCTCTATGACTAATCAATTATTTTGCAATGAAACAAAAATTGATTGATGAGTGAGTGGTTTAAAAGAAGCCTGTACTGGCCTCAACTGTAGGTACGACAGCATCTCGGGACCACTTACCCATGTATTCTTTCATATTTTAAAACCATTAGTACCACTAGCAGTTTAAACATATCCTCCAAAAATTTATAACTTAAAAGAAGTAATTTAAGATGCAATGACAATCGAGAACTAGCATGAACTTCAATTTCAAAGCTAACGCATTTTAACTATGAAACTCTTCAATTTTTCACGCATTAAAACAATGCAAAAAAGTAAAGCAGTGTAGGAACCAACGAAAATGCTGGGACTTCTGTGCAATAGGATGGTAGAAATGATTGAAAAACACACTGCAGACCTCAGAACTACAATGACCGACCATCTAGTGGTAGTGAAACGATGCATCAATTTACCCAAGCGCACTAATGTAACCTATCCGGCTTACCTCGCGCAAATCATCCACAATCTCTGGGTGCTGCCACCAGGCAGTTGTGGTGGCTACAAGGGCCTCAGAATCTTCAGGGATGTCTGCCACTGTCGCAATCTGCTTCTTCGATGCCTCACCAGTAGTCGCCTTGGTGCGTACGCTGGGCAGTAACTGCTGAATGCGGGCGCGCAGACCTCGTGGTGCGGTGATCTCTGACCAAATATGATCCAACGCACATCGCAGGGCCTCTTCCTCTGCGCTGATGGCGAATCCCGCACGGCGCGCCACTGTCTGCTTTGCCAAGAGCTGAGGGTAAAAAAGATTGCAATGTCGTCGTGGTTACTACTGGAGGAAATAAAGTAGCAATATACCTGAGACACACCTTTAGGATGCGATGGTTGAGTTCAATCTGTTTGCGTTTGATTTGAGCAATCTTTTGTGAGGCACAGAGCTGCTGAGCTTGTAAGGCACTGGCCACAGATAGCAGATGCTGTAATGAAGCAGGATATGACAAACCGGCTTGTTATTTCTGCAAGATTCATTCCAATCACACTTAAAAGTTAGAAGCAGAAGTGATCCATTTAGCCTACATCAATGCTTTATCCATAGAAAATGATGCTACGACCTTTCCAGGTTTATCATTAGTAGTGCAGGCTAACAGTATAACATCTGGAAATACGGATGCTCGAACTCTGTTGAACAGATAGACAGATAGAAAATCGGAAAAAATGTTACACAAATAATTTCTTATGACTTCAACCCTGACGATTGACGTAAATCACAAATGTAAGCATAGAGCCGCAAAGGAAACAAATAAACCGGAACTAATGCCCACGGCGAGAACGTTGAACAAGGGAGTCGAATATAAGCCACTGAACACGTGTTGGAAGTACTCAACAGCAAAATAACGAAAATATTGTGAAACTCTTGATCATACTTAAGTGAATATAATGAAATGACTACAGATGTTTCAGCCAAGATGCTGCTTTCGCTTAAGATGCAATAAAAAGGACTACTTCAACAGATAACATCTGCAAGTATTTAACCATGTATACACGCCACAAAACAGCATGAAATCAGGTCTAGCCTTTCGCAGACGAATGCATGTTAACAAGCGTGATAACCTTGACGGCCTTGCGCTGCTGGTCACCAAAAAGAAGTTGCCCATCACGGCGCCTTTTCAGATCAGCAAACCCGATTACCGGGACGGGAATGAGGCGGTTCGGCGATGGATTGTCTTCCCGAGCCTAACAAACGAACCGAAATAAGGCAAGCTGACTTCAAAGGCTTATCAGCATGGCTGGACACTGCTAGAGAACCCAGCACAAGTAATACATCACCTATGATAACTTGAACGAACGCGAGACAGATGAGAGCCGAACCTCTCAATAGTGCTAAAAAAAACTCAGGAGCCCTTCTACTAATAAACAGCTTGTGAAGAGCGTCAACTAAAAGGAATAGTAAACGAAACTCGCAAAAAATTTACAGCACACATCAAACTATTCCAAATTGGAATAAACATTTACCAACGTCACAAGTGGTAAATCATTACCAACTATTTAAACCATTTCGAAACTTTTGGCTAAAGCATGCTACTTCGAGGCGTTTCTTTTTCGTCGGTCTACTAACCAGATTTCAAAACCATTTTATTCGGGAGCTTGGATAAGACTAAACTTCAGCATTGTTAATTGGCGTAACCTGGTCGACAGTACTCAACATCCCCAGGTGATAGATGCATTTGGTCTAATCAGAAATCACCAGGCCAAGCCGGCGATAAAGTCATGCCTTATTGGTGATACTGAAAAGACAAAACCAACCTGCTGCCAGACACGTTTGTCGAATCCTGCAGGCGGAATCTCGAGGTAGGCGTTGATTTGCGAAGCGGAGGGTGCAAGTTCCGGCATCAGACGACATACACATAACTGAGACTCCAGCTGTGGCTTAGTAGACGGACCACACAAGAAATTTGCCAGATCGCTGGCTGGCACGATGTGCGTCGCGCCTAGAATATCACACAGGGTCGATTTGAGCAAAAGATTGGAAAACCCAGAGATTCATAGTAGAAAATCAGACTAATATACTACTTAAGCTACTGCACTAAAGCCATCATTAGTAAGCGCGGTCGCCGATAAATACCAACGATCAAATGAACTCGCAAAAGCACACTTAATACAAGCCGTGTCAATACTTAATCTTGAAGAACAAAAGGCAAGGTCCAGCCGACTTTTAAGCAATTTTGCAGCTAACCAGAAGCAAGTCGTTCGATAACCTTGATGACAACCTCAGTATTGGTTTCAGAACGAGCAGACGGTCTGATTTCTTCAATTACAAGCTGATAGTTGGCACGACCACCAAGGAGCCTGAATATGTGATCCTGTATGCCTTGCTTCAGCGGAAGCACCTCAGAGAAGGCCCTTGTCAATTCCATGCAAACAAGACCATCAGCCTCCGAACTAGTGGGCATGACATTGTACGCTATGCCACGAAAACGCGAGAACGGATTATCCGGTGTATAGGTCACAGTTCCCAGGGCCGAATACCCTGTCCCCATACCGAGCATGGCTTGCAGTTGGTTTAAACGGGCGATTATATTATCTCGTTCGTCACCAAAAAGCATAGGCTGTGACAGAGAAGCGTAGAATGCATCAACTGATTGTTGCGGCTGTTGTTGTTGCTGCTGCTGCTGCTGTTGTAGAGCAGTACTATGAGTCACTGAAAACCAGATTCAAACAATGCGTAGTCATTATCAAAAGACAACAATGTTGAGTCGTCAAACTACCTACACAATCCAGACCCTAGCTGTAAACCAGATGTTGTTTGGCTCCCTTGGACCGACGGAAACGAAAAAAGAGAGCCTGGCACTGCAGTAGTCGATGAAGAGCCAAGAGTAGTACTAAACAGTGATCCCGGCTTGGTGACAGCTGAAAAACTAAAGGAAGGTGTGTTGGATGTTGTTGTCCCAAATCCAAATATGTTTGTTGAAGTCTTCGCAGGAGTTGGACCCAGACCAAGTGTTGAAAATGTCTTAGGTTTAGGACCGAACCCGAAGGCGTTTGATGTTGTCAGAGTGCCAAATGAAAATCCACCTTGTGTTGTAGTGCCAGACGCAGCAGGTTGCTGAGTCCCAAACAACGGCTTGGAAGGGCTACCGAACATGAATAGTGGTTATTTATCAATGCATTGGTAGGTCAGTGGTTAACAAATGACGGACTGGGATACAAAAAGACAGCGTTATGAACTGAGTTTAAGTGCTTAGAATAGTGAAAGTAGATAAAACCGATTTAAAAGTATATTAACGGACCGCGACTAAAACGCGATAATCCGAAATTAAAAAGTTAAAGTTACTTTGTAATGGAAAGTACGGAAAAAACTATTAAACTATCTTATAAGCAGACAAAATTGTGTAAAGTATTTTGTGGTACATGTGATACATTGTTTATGTGAATAACTGACGTCTGGCGGTCACTCGAGGGTCTGTCCGACCGTCGTACTCGAGAGCTGGCCTTTGGGTCATGGACAGACCCGTTTGCTTCGTCCTCCTTGGAATACGTGCATCCGACTTCACTTACTGACTTGTTCTACCGGGTAGGAAGTCCCGCGACGCTACTTTGGTAAAGGCAGAAAGAGGATCGAACATTTCTTTGAACGACTTCTATCCTAACACGTACCGTTTGTTTCATGTACCTGCTGTGTGGAGGAGGCGTATTTCCTTGGTAATGGGGAATCTCTGAATCCCTTACAACGAAACGGTCGGGAATGACGTCTGCATGTGACTTCACAGTATTTTAGTGTTCCGCAGACAAGCTATTAACAACTGAGGCGACACTGCCTTCAACTATCTGAAAAAGCTTCGTGTCGGAATTTCTCCTACAAATCCCGTGCATAGGTGCCGGAAATGAAACAACGGTTTTCCTTATATGCGGGACAGCGCCTTATCCCGTGTTTTGAACCAGGTTTCCACTGTCTAATCCTCGAAGCAATTGATAGTTAGTAGATATATTCGGCCTCGAATCTGGTTGTCAGTCCGAACGTAACTCCAGATCCAGTTGAAGCTGCCAATGGGACCAGGCATGGTTCCTCAGTCTCATGTTCTCCGTCGACTGGCGCGATCGGCTCTTGGGTGCTTTCTTGTAGTACCGAATGTATTGTAATAGCTGATTCGCGAGATGTACCAAGTGAAGCACCGGGGACGTCGACCAAAAGAAGAGGGGTAGTGTAATTTTTCGTTTATTTGACTTCTGGCCATTTGGCGGTCACTGTGGGATTTGTCTGGCCCTTGTACACGTGGGTGGTCCTCGGGTCATGCTTAAACCCATTTGCTTTGTCATTTTTGAATACATGTATTTAGCTTTACGGCTTTCTTCTACTGGATAGTAAGTTTCGGGGTGCTATGCTATCGTATCGTTTTTTTGCCTTTAACACTTCCAAAAGGCCCTGCTAATGAAAGTGATAGTGAGAACATGATTGGCTGCACCGTCCAGAGTAGTCGTTCGTTCCGTCTAGGAACACATCTGTAGCGCCCCGAGCCCTCCCACCAAGTGCAAGGCATTAAGTGTTGCTGGGTGCATGTAGTCAAAGGGGGAAAGAGAGACTAGGCTTTGGTCTAGCCAAAATGTCAGTCCATTCTCTTAAGAGCAGGATAATCAGGTGGGCCTTATCCATACTGGCAGTCATTTAGACAAGGTATTACAAGTAGAGCTTTGGTTTGATCTGAAGATCGATGTACTTTCCAAAGGGGTCGTCGTCACATATTCGAATCAGCAAGGTTCTAGAGTACTCCTGTCTCCATTGCACCTGCATCAGGGAGGATGAGGTGATATCTATCTTTGGGATGTGCCTAACTTCTGGTTAAAAGCAGGCTATAAGTAGGTGAAGTTGCAATACCTTGTTTTTGAATCCATCTGGGAAGCTCTTCAGGCCAAGCTCAGATTTGATCCCTTTTCTCGTCCTTGAATGCATCTAGTCAGCTCCACTTGCCTTGTATGTAAGCAGAATGCAAAGCTTTATGCTTACTTTTACTTTGTGATTTGTGGTTGGGAGGTACGAGTTCAATTAGTGGAGCGCAGGTACACTTCTCGGGACTGGCGCGTATGAACCGGACGCATCCCTACATCTGTAATATTTTGTTTGTGTGACTACCTGATGTTTGACGGTCACTTTAGGATTTGTCTAGCCCTTGCACACGTGGGCTGGCCTTCGGGCCATGACTAGGCCCGTTTGCCCTGACGTCTTTTGAATACATGTATTCAGCTGCATTTGCTGGATTCCTATACCGGTTAGGAAGTCTCGGGACGCTAAGTACCCACGACCCAATACCCAGCAAATCATTGCCAAACAATTTCCTTTCCAAGAAGATGGAGAGTAAAGAAGAATGAAGTTGAAAGGAATGTGATCTTCACAAGAGGAGCCAAATCTGACCCTATTCCACTTCTCTACGAAAGGCAGTGCTTAACCCTAACCAGTACATACTAACAAAAGCTGTTGTGTATCTTTAGATCAAATTTTTACAATGAAAGGAATAGGTGTCTCTCTGAGACTCTGCAATTTGTCTTTATATGACTACCAGCTAACATAAATTTCTTAAAATATCCACGACCACAATGTGCTCAAATTAGTTTACGCTTAGTAAAAAAGCGTTGCATTTTAAGCGCACAAAATAAGACGTGACTATGGCAAAGGTTTTTTAAATTCTAAACACATTTAGAACTTGTTATAATCAACTAGATGTTTCAGGGACGCGAGTCGTAGGTCACTGTTGCACCTCTCAGGCTACCATTTGTTCGTAATCGAAGCTCATTGGAGTAGGGGTGTAGCCAGTGCGTCACCGTAAACCTGCTTTTGCAAAGTCTATCTCTTTTCTTTACATGACGGAACATTTTCGTTCGACTCCTTAAATTATTTGTTGCGTCCATTCTTTAATTTCTCACTCAAGTTTACTGTTGGCATGAAAATCTACGTAGGTGAAATGGAGTTTTTAGACTTAGAAGTAGCTGTTTGTAAGATTATCGGGTGGATGGTCTAATTCCTTTATTATCTGGCTGCGGTTATCTCAGTAAACTTCTTGATAACAGTTTCTTGCGAATGAGTCCATACTTTAAGTATCCTTTTCTGTTAAGGATTCGCTATGGATAAGGAATCCGTTATATCGGGAGTGAAGCACTTCGTTGAGGATTATACTCCAATGGAATATATTTTTCCAGCCTTCCTTATATTTGGTGCCTGCATCATGTCCTTCTTCCTCTTGCTGGCTATTTTTGGAAATGATAAGGTACTCATGAATGCTAGTGGTTTTTTGTTATGATTGGGGTTTGCAGTCTTTAAGCTGCTGATAATCTATGCGTGACTTTAATGTGCTTGTTTCATTGCTCAGGTCATTGTTTTACTGCCAACTCGACAATCAAGATAAGAACCTAAAGATATCAGTGGAATATCGAGTTTTGTATAGTCTGCAGCTTCCGTTGTAATCGGTTCATTACCTTAATCACGCATAAAGTTCTACTTATGGTTTGAACTTAGTTGATACTTTTTCTAGTCCCCCATGGATACAACCTTTTCGAGGGTGAGTGGTTTCTCCAAGGTTGTTGTGGCGTCACACGCTGGTATCATGTTGCATTTTTCACCTGCATTCTAACACAACTCGCATGGCACTTTAAAATATGTTTTCTACATTGCTGGCACTCAGTTTAGTTCAACTTCTTTTAGATGAAAATGAAGAAGGCAAAGAAAAGTTAATGTGTGTCCCCACTGACAATTCAGGTAAATCTTTTATGCGTTTGTTGTTCTTATATTTTCCAACTAATATAGTTTTTTCCCTTTTTGTATAACTACCATTCATTAAAGCATCCCTCTCATGTTCAGTTGTCTTATTACCTGTCTAATAATCGCTCAACATTCCTCATTTAGATTTTTCATCGAATCAACAAAATAGTTAGGTCGTAAACTTCCGCATTTCACATTGCATTGACTTTTCTGAGTCTTCTGCTTCTATGTAAAGTGCTGTTAAACTCGCAAATCATCTTCCTTCTTGCTTTCTTGTTGTATCTGATTTCTTGTACATTTGGTTAAGGTACTTCACCATCACGCAGCTAATAAATAAATAAGTAATAATAATAATATTAATAAAAGCATTATGGGCTTGTTCTTCTCCTTCACATCGCACTAATTCGGAGTATGCTCATGTAATGCAAGCTGTGCTCAGGTTCTCCAGTGATTCTTTTCTTTTGGTTTGGATCTTTTAAGGTCACTAGTCCTCAGAATTGCCGCTATCTGCTGTTCGGTGGAGTGTATGACTTTGTTATGGGCGCTGTGCCTCTGAGGATGCAACAAACCTCCGAAAGTACGGTCACATCTCGATCGAACCTACAAAATAGTGTAGTGTGTCAAAAATTGGCGAGGCTTCGTGCAGCGTGTCATCGTCTGTCCCTCTGTCATGGAGAAGTTTCCGATTCCAAAGTGGCAGCTTAGTGGCGGTGGCCTTAACACTAGAGGGCACGAGCTGAGAGTCAACAGTATTGACCTGAGACCCTTGATGTGCTACTGGCACCATGTCCAGCTTTGCGTGCAAGGACGCTCGTCAGTCTGCATGTTTGCACATGCGAATACACGTGATCCTCGCGGGTCACTGTTCGCCAAGTTCACACGGAAGCCCTTGTAGTAGTTTAAACAACAATCCTCGGATGGTCGGTCAACATAAGCATACGTGACTCCTTGTTGTGTTCGACTGATGTTGTCTTTGGTTCTCACCCCCTCATCCACCTTAAATTTTGATCTAGTGAATTTAAAGTCCACGTTCGCATTCGAAAATCCATTAAAGTAAAGAAATCAAATATACTAAACTAGCAGAGAACAAGTCTGTATGAGCGGTAGATTGGGCTAGGGAGCTGAGGCAGAGCTTTAAAATGCTACGCATTTGATTTTCTGCGAACTTGAGAGAATACAGACATGAAACCACCCACATGTTTGCTCTTGACAATTATTGCACTTTTTATCGGATTTAGGGACATATTTTCATTAAAAGTTCACCACAATTTTACAGGGTTCCTTGAATTTGGAGAAGCATTTGAGCCATAAATCTAGTGAACGTCCCATTAATAACTTTTTCTCAAGAATCAAGTTGCACAAAGTGAATCCTGCAGTGTATTTGGGATTAATGAAAC